AGGAACGCACCCAGTCTCCCATTCCGGCTATGTCTGGCAACTGAAGCAAAGTACTCCTATACCTTATATGGAGTATCATAGGAGCTGTCCGTGGTACTGAAATCCAACCACAGATCGTGCCTACAATGTTCGAAATTAACACTGCAATGGATAAGGGACCCCACTGAGATAGGGGTGCCCAGCCTCCCCTGTCCATTTCTAGTTCACAAAACAGCTTTGCCCAAACCACAAGGAGTTGGCTAGCTAACAGTGAGGCTGACCCATCCTGTAATGTTCTCAGTTTCTTTGCAAAGCGCCAAAGTATAGAGAAGGAGCTGGAGCGCAGTAGCAATGGCATTATGTCAACATAAGAGTTTCTTGGGCTGTTGAGAATCATGATTCTTCCTCAGTGCAGGCATTTCTGAAAGCACCGATTGTTGTCAACCTCCCGCAAGCTGTTCCTGAGCACCAGGGGAATCTTCCTGAACAGAATGGGGTGTGGAAGAGAGGGCTGTGAGAAGTGAGGGGGTGTCAGCAAAATGGGATGCCCTGCCTCGTGAGGGCGAACATGTGTTCCACAAAGGCAGGGGCGTTGAACCTTATGCCTGTGGCCCAGATCTGCCATTCCTTAATACAGTGACTCAACTGTTTGGTGGCTCCCTGGTTTATGCAGCTTCCTCTGTCATTCAGACAGGTTGAAATATCTCTTCTAGGGTAAGTTACCAGCAGGAAGAGGTTGAAGCTACCACAGGCTAGTATTTTTGGACCCATCCAGCAAGGGATGCAGCCTCCTAGAACTCCAAAATTGGATTTGGCCCTTGGGCTGAAAGAGGCTCAGCATCCCTGCACCAAGAGAAGCCCCCTCACCGTTGTACCCACCTGCCAGCATGTTCCTAGTGATGCAGGCTGCTGGAGTTATCTTAAGAGATTAAGCACCGGCATCTTCCCAATGTCTTGCTTTTGTGCCATCTTAGCTTCCTGAGAATTGACTTGCTAAAGGAAAGGAAATGTACCACTTGTCAAATGCCCCAAAGCAAGGGCCGCTGCTTCGAAAGGAAATTGACCATCTTGAAATCTGGCCATTAGCAGCCTGCTTTTTATAAGTGTGCCATGTGATCATTAACGGGCATGACCCTAATCTTACATCATTCTGGTGGTAGGAAACAGAAATCCATCTTCTGACCATCTGGAAGATTAAATGCGCTCAGTGCAAAATAAACCCAATTGCTTTGGTAATATGTAATCCCTAGTTAATTTTTGCTATATTACAAAGACTTAAGAGTAGCATTTAAACCTGTCTGAATTGCAACTGAGAAGATAAATACAGGGAGCTGGTGGCAAACAGCATGTTAAATAACTTTTCTACTGACAGTTTAATTATGTTTGTGTGGTCTATGGATGCCAAACACTGTTGGTAGAATGAAAATCTGTGAGGCTTACTTTGCAGTGTTGTATTTCCTTTCCCTTTTCTTCCTTGCTGTGTGACAGCAAACACTCATTTTAGTGAGTGGAAGGAATCTAGAATGCAGATCACAGACAAGGTGCAGCTTTGTGGGAAAGTAATCAATATGGGAACTATTATGCACTTGTCCATAAAGTACTGCTTTGCTACCTTTCCTCACACACTGCAAAAAATAATTGTTTCGATGAATTGTTCAGCTGATAAAGGGATCATAACTTTCATGTAAAATGCATACATAATTTGTTCTAATTGCCACACAACTCTCAGGTTGTTAATAAAGTTGAATGTGTCTGATTGGTGATGGTTACTGCACATTATAATCCACTGGGCACTACAACTCTGCGGCAAATAGGATAGTCTTGCTGTGGAGCTTTGAAAGGAGGACACTAGTATTTTAATATAAAAATATTCTCTCAGTGTGTACTCCAGTGGGCCATAAGGTTTCAGGGTATTTCATTCCTAAGTAATTGCTTTTTATAGAACATTTCTCCTCTGTAATTGTGTGATTTGTCTTTGAATGAAATGCTGCACATTATGGTATCATGGACTGATGAATTCCTATGATTGTCTGTGACTTTTCTCCTTCATTCAGGTACTGGTCTGTTATGGATAACCAAGTCCCATGCATGAAAGAATAAATTGCCCGAAAAACACTTTTGCCTTCATCCTGCTCATGCCGCTGCTCCATTCTGCAAGGATAGAAAAGAGCATCTTGTACTTTGCAAATCAAAACCTCCAGCAGCATATATTTGCATCGGACTGTGCTGCTACCTGAATGCAATTCTGGCATGAGGTCCTGGAGATGGAGAGAAACACGGAGGTCTCTTTAATGAAGCTAGTGCCTGTCTCCATTTCTGTACATCTATGTTTTATCCCTTTCTATTTCTATGTCTTTGGCATACCAGCAACACCAGAGATTTATTTTATCGCATAACTAAATGCGTTTCTGAGATGTAGCCATGTTCACCAGGGGGAGACAAAAATAGCAAAAATGCTATGGCAAAGGACATTCTTTTAAGAAGCTTTCCTAGTATCTCAGGCTGCATTCTGCACATTGCAAGGTTCATCCAAATCACACTGAATTCCACTGGGCTTAAAATGGCGACAGAATTGTGATACGAGCTGATATATTTGTAGCAAATTATCACAACTTGTGTGAAGCACTGAGCAGTTTAATCAGTTTTCCCGACTTTCATTTTAGATCAATTCTCTTATCTTTCCTCCAAAAATTTGTCTAAAGGAAAGATACGGAACAGGCTTGCTTGGGGGAATCAAGTACTTTGAAATCTAGCTCTCCCTCTTCCCCTTCTATTGCATTTCTGCAAGATTTATATTCCTCTATAAAATTGCACCAGGACTGTGACCCGGTTCGTGGGAGGATTTCTGTAGATCTGCCATGGTATGTGGAAGAGACTTCAGGTCGTTCCCTTACCATTCCATAGTCTCTCCACTCCTTTCAACCTAGATGAATTATCTTTACTAATATTGGGTTAATAGTCTATTAACAACATGGCAAAAATTGCAGAGCAGAAGGAAGGAGAAAAGTTTACTGGGGTAATTTTGTTTCATTTCTCAACTATTTTGAACATTCTTTCTGGAATAGTGCTGAGTATCTCTGCATCTGAGCTGAATAACTGCAGCAGGAACATTTACCTAGAAACTTATGGCTGCACTGAACTGCTCTTACGATCCATTATGCAACCGGTGAGTTTCGTTAGGGCAGAGATATGGCTATGTCGTTCTGTGGATTGGACTCCTGGCTTTTGGTTGACTTCTTTTTTTACCATGAGCTTTTGCTAACTCATGTTTGTATACTTTCTCGCAGCACCGCTTAAGATATATATAGGAAGGAAAGACAAAGGAACTGCTTGAGGCCTGACCAACCCTCCTCACCACTAACGCCTCAACAAGTTTCAGGTACCTCAGAGAATTCTGAAACACCTAAACATGTTTGTGGATAGCTCTAGATCAGGGCTGAGCTGAAAGAAGATCTCCAGATGTTATGGATTTCAATTCCCAACATGCCTATTTGCCATGTTGACAAGGGCTTCTGTGAGATGGCAGTCCAAAGCATCTGGAGAGCTAAACTCTGCCCAATCTGCTCATCTAGATATCCTCAGCTTTTACCGTCCTACCATCTGCTGGACTCCAACAAGAAGAGAGGACCTACCACAGTGGTGAGACCTGGCTAGCTGTTGCCATCATTTCCATGAGCCAAAGAGCCACCATCCATAAGTCCTGCCTGTTAAAGTAGTAACTGCAGGAAGTTTTCTATGTGAACTTCCCAATGCTGCATCTAGAAGAAACATGGAATTTGGAGCAGACATGTGATTGGTCTGCGCATGCCAAGCCTCACTTCCTGCAACCACTTGGAAGCCGGTGCCTCAGTGGCAAGGGCTGGACTGCTGAAGATCCAGGTGCAAGGCCCCACTTGGCCATGCCTTTTAGCTAGTCACCAACGTTCATCCTCACCTCCCTCCCAGTGCTGTTGTGAGGACAAAAGGGAGAGGAGCCCCCTCGAGTTATGTGTAAGAGGAAGAATGGCAGGAGTTAACTCTAACAAATAGAACAAATTCACTAGCACGGCAGAGTCCTTGAAACAGAAGAAGCCCTGATAGAGATCCAGAGCAAGATGAGCACAAGTGGGGAATTTTCCCTGGTCTGGTCCCAGACTTAGGCACATGCAGCAGGGCTGCCAGGAGCACCTTCACTGCCCCTCCCACCCGTGGGGCCACGCAAGGTCGGAGAACCTTGCTGAACGGGGTTGCGTAGCCGTCTGCGGCCAGGTGGACCTCGTCTTCCTGCACCCCTAACGATTGGCCACGTCGGCTGGGGCAGATGGGGGGACATTTGGAGGGCACCATATGGGAGAAAACTGGTGCGAAGGACAGAGGGACGTTCCAAGAAAACAGAAGAGCGGAGGCACCTTGGAGGCCCGCTCACGGAACGGAAGCCATCTTTCTCCCACCAACAGAATCCCTTTCCTCCTTCCACACCATGCCCAGCTCCACCCAGCAGGCTCCCATGACCTACGTGCCACGCTTTGGAGAGGATGCCACGGGGAGCGGGAGTTCGGCTTCCACCAGCCCAGCTGCACAAGCCCGGATCTGATCCAGCCCATCTCCAAGAAGGTGCAATGCAGCAGGACGCGCCTCACAGTGCTCTGCGCATCTGACTGAACCCGGTGCTACTCAGCTTTTGCTCCGCTTGCCCCAAAATATACGGCATTAGCACCAGGAGCAGCAGTCACTTCATGGTGCATGCAGACTGCACCCTCCGTTGCAGCTGCCTCTTCTTCACTCCCCAGTGAGCATCACTGTGTTGGTGGGAACGCTGTTCGGACCAGGAGTATCCGCTCCAGGGATGTCTGTTGCCATGTCTCACTGGTATAGTTAAAGAATGCGGCAAAGAAGCAACCCCCGTTATGAAATCCAGGGAAATCTGGAAGATAAATTGCTGGTAACCATTAAGATGTTACCGCAGGATGTGCACTTTGTATTTCCAACCAGCATGCAGTCTAGCAATCAGTATTAGTAACACAGCTCCACAGTACGCTAAATACAGACTGCAGTAACTTTTATTGCATTATAAAAATGTTACAAAATGTATGTCCTGTTTGTTCTACAAAAGAATCACCATTCATGACAACTATTCAAAGGATGTCTTTTGTAATTAACATATTTGGTAATCTCTTAAGTTTCCCTCTGTACAAGCAGATTACAAGCATCATATAGTCTGCTTAGTCTTATTTACAATATTCTAGGCATACTCTTAGATACACTGAACAGGAAAAGTTGAACGTCTAGCAGCCAAAAAAGGCATCTGCTGGTATAAAAAAGCACTTAAGTTCTCAAAATAAAGAGGGCTGGCACAAGATACCATTCAGCACTCTTGACCTTTCACGGGACCATTGTTCGCCAAACTGTTTTGCAATTGCCTGAGCAAATGGGAGTTGGCCTTTGAAGGGCACGGTCATTCCAGCAAACCCTTTTTTCCTGAGAGAGGCTCACTTCCCACAAAGTTGATTTTCCAAGGTTCTCTGGAGCAGTGCTTTTCAACCACCACTCTGCTTTTTGAAGATGACTTTTTGTTCCTGCCTCAGTGGTCCTTGAGGTGGTTTTCCTGTTTTCGCCAGCCGCTGGCTGTGGGAAGGTTGAAAGCCACTGCTCGAGAGGATGAGCAGGAAGGACATCCTCAGCTCGGATACCTTGTGATCCTCCAGATCCTTCTACCCCCATGGACTGCTCACCATTGGTTGCACTGCCTTGGCCCGATGGGGTGCAGGCCAACAGCACCTGGAGGGCCACAGGTTGCCCATCCCTGCTGTGTGGTAAGGCTTCCTGCACCTTGGCTCACCACTGCATTGCTACTGCCAACACATCAGATGCCTGGTGCAAAGGAGCCTTCCACCCTCAGAGGCTCACCAGGGATTGAATTACTTCCTTTCCTCCAAGGACAATAATTCTGGGACAATCACTTCCTTTCCTCCAGGACAATAGCCCGATGCATCCAGTTTGCCCATCTGCATTCATTTAGCAGCCAAGCACCAATTTGCCTTGGAACTCTTTGGAAGAAAAGCTTCATTTTTGTGTGTGGTTTTGTTTTGCTTTATATTTAATAGCCTTGAAAGAAAATAAGTTTGTTTACTTTTGGGACCCAGCCAAAAGTGGACTGCACAGAGCTTTAAAAAGACATGGTGCCTCACTCTGTACACTTGGTCCTCCAATTTTCTGCTGCAGTTCTGTTGTTTTCTGCATATTACATTTATCTGCAGGTAGTTGTTCCTCATGATTTACAACACATACATTTGCTTCCTTTTTTTACATTTCAACTCTTATGCCAATTTCCCCATGGAAATAAGTTTAAAACAACCAGATTTGAAAAATCTTAGCACAGTGCTTTCAAAATTGAGATCTCGAATAGTTACTGGACATATCTGTGTTTAGCAATACTGAGAATTAGTATTACTTCCAAACGCATTTGGAACACCTGAACATTTTTCGATTTCATCACTATTTAAAAGGTGTACATAATGAAGACTTCCCTCCTGCCAAACATATTTTAAAGGTGCTTTTTATAGACAGGGTTATTTTCCCCAGTTCTGCCCCATGATTCCTTAAGTCAGAGCTCTTATAAAAAGTAATACTTTCGAAATGACAGGCAGAACAAATCTAAGATCCCTGAAAGAGCATTCCAGGATCCAGAGGGAATTTTGGATCCTTCTCCTGAGGCAATAGACTCCTATGACTTTGGGATGGGGAGCCACCAACAGATCCCCCGGTCCAGCACCTCACATGATGTGACAGAAAGATCAATGGCAGCCGGTGCTGGACCACCTTTGAGGTCAAAAGGGAAGTGCTCTGGTGAATGGAAAAGGGGAGGCAGGGACCGCCCCACCTCTGGCTCTGCGGCACCCCATGGCCTCTTTCCACCCAGCCCCACTTAGCACCCGTGGGTTGGACAGGCTCAGAAGCCTGCGCATTCTGCAGGGGGACGTTTAAGACAAGATGCAGCAGCTGCTCAGCCCTTCTCCTATCCTGCCAGCAAAGTTTCAGCAAAGCCTCTGAATTCTGAGGGTTCCCTCTAAAGGCCATCAATCCCACAGGACAGTGCCCTTATGAATCACATCACTGAAGGGTTTAGAAGTTTCTCCTCAACACAACACAGCACAGCACCTACATATTTCTGTCAGTAGCATAACCCGATCAGCCACTGTGTGCTGTGCCCTGGATGCCAGACAAATTTATTCTGGCACCACCAAAAAAGAGGAACGGATGGGCAATCTGTATCAGGTGCTCCACTCAAAACAAAACGATATTTCTGTCTCAGTCTTCCTGACTCAAGCCGATTTGGCATGCTACTGGCAGTGGCAGAAGACACCAAGCCGAATGATGTGATCTGACACTCCCGACTCCAGAAAGGAAGATTAAGACACATGTGCTGAATTGTAACAATAGTGGTACCCAAGTCTGATTGCATGCAGTCACTTGATTGTCATAGCGAACTATAAAAATACCTTTCAGGAGTTCTGTGACATTTTAAGTGCCTGAATACAAACCAGAGCAATAGGATGCCTTCCTCCTTTCCTGATCCATCTTTGGAAAGGAACGTTTGCAACATATGGGGATACCATCCCATGTAAGATATTGGAAATCAGTGGCTTCTTGAAATCTATGGCCATTCGATCAAGGCAGAAGAACCAGAATTTAATCCAGTGCTGTGGTTTGTAAAAATCCACAGTCAAGCATAATTGCAGGGGGGGATTTTCTCATTGTAAAAACTGTACAGTCCTGGACACGAACTACTTAAGGCAAATTGCTTTCACTTAAAGTGTCCACAGTAGAACAGTGCCGAATCAAGCCGTCATAATCAAGTCCCTCTGCATGTCATACTTAAACACTCACTCGTTAAAACATCACTCGTGCTGCACTTATAATGTGGTGCAATTCCAGAGCAAGCACTTGGGGGCATCTCCCTAGGACTGCCCGTGTCCCCTTCTCCTGGCTCGGCTCCCAGAGTCAGAGAAGCAAGGTGAGCATTTAATCCCAACACTGTGGCTGAAGAACTTATATCCAAGTTTTTTGTGGGGGTTGCACAAAAACAATTTTGGGTGTCATCAAATCAAATGACAAATTACGTACTCTAACACTGTTAGCATGTCTTATTTGAGATGCTGAAAGTAATATGCAAAGCCCTAAATACCATCATTTATGGGAGACTGTGGATGAGGGGAGAAGGTCATTTTTCCCCCCTAAGTTAAATCGCCTTAAATTGACCCTTCTGTAAAAACAGATCTGAGCAACACCTGTAGAAGTTAATTTTTTTGGCAATTTCAGATGCACCCCCCCCCCCCCCCCCCGGTATAACTTTCCTTTCTTCTGATGGCCTGGTTCACACAATCATTTAAATCACTGTTTAAGCCATGACATGTGCCAAGTGCAATTTGCCTAATTACCTAGGAATAGTTTGTGTTGTCCGAAACCAAGCAGCATGGCTTGTTTGAAAGGATAACCACCTACCAATGAACAATCGGTTTGGATGACATGACCAGCTGCACTTGGGATGGTATTAGCCAAATGCACTAAGGCTTGTTTCAGCTGGAATAATCATTTGAACTGAAATTTTTTTTTCAACCAATTTGTTTATTCCATGGATGCTAGAAATCCTTCAGCTTAAAATTCCATTAGAAAATTGTATTTTTCTAAATGTCTTCAACAGATACAAAGGAATGCACAGAGAAAACTGGCCAACCACTGATTCACAGAGACACCTGCTTGTAACTTAAAACGGCAGGACTTGAGTCAATAGAAAATGGAAATATTTCCTTCCAGTTCATTTCTTTCTTTTGGTCAAAAGTTACAGTAAGGTTATTTAAGTCATAAGCATGGGCTCTTCTAGAATTGAAGACCTTATCAACTCATGTCAATTATTCTGAAACAGCATTAAGCAATATATATGAATCAATGGCCAGAAGGGACTAAAGGTCAGCCTCTTGGTGTTGTGAAAGGCACTGCTATTAACATCCACCATCCTTACATGGTTGACCTTTGACCAGCTTCATCCATTTTGGGATTTCGTTTCCTAGCTGCAGCTTCGCCACTGAATTCCACATCAGACTTGTTTTCATTACTGCAATCGGCCGCAGTGGTCCCCTCTTCATTATCGTCAAGTGTTCCTCTGTTGTGCTGCTGGATTTTTGAATTCGGCTCAGGCGGGCGCTTCCAGTGTGGTCTTGTCGCAATCCACAAAACGGCAGCACCGAAGACCAGGATCAGCACGCCAAGCGTGTTCACAAAAATAGCTTCTGGTGGGGAAGTGCTATACGCATTTGGTGACTTTCTGGAAAAGAAAGCCGCTGTAAGTGCATCGCTAACAACAGATACTGGCCTAAAACAGAGAAATGAAAGGATACTTACAAAGCAAAAATAAGCTTTTCTGTAATTCCCATTAGTGCTGTCGCTATCACTGTTCCAAAGATGAGAAGGCCTGAATATACATGTATTGGCATAACTGTCGCTCGAAGAGAGCTGGGAGCAAAAGGAAGCAAGAAGACCACAAAACCTAGAACAAGCTGGAAAAGAGATTTCTTTAATCAGGAAATGTTATTTAAATAGAAAAATTCCTGCAGTATCTTAAAGACAATCCAAATTTCACATGAGAACTGTTACTTTCATATTGTTCATATACACACGTGTGTTTGTACGTGTCACAGGAGAAGATCACAGTGTTTCAAAAGTGAGGCATGAAGGCAAGGCCGGGCCAGACCAAGAGAGGGGCATATTGCAAACATGACCCAATCAGAAAGGTAAAAAATCAGGTCAGAGTAGGTGTGACTACAATACATTCCCTGCTGGGTATTTAACAATAAATAAGAAAAACAGTATTTATTTATTTATAAGATTTGTATGCCGTCCAATTACTTGCGTCTCTGGACAGCTAACAACATAGGTAATTTGACAGCCCACTCTGGCTGCAAGTTAATAAAATGCAACAATAAAATTCAATATTAAAATATATTAAAATATTAAGTAAAAAGGTCTTAACCTGACACCAAAAAACATATAATGACGGCGCCAGGCAGACCTCTCTGGGGAGCACATTCCATAGTCGGGGTGCCACCACAGAGAAGGCCCTCCTCCGGGTACTCTGTCTCCTAACATCTTTCACAGAGGGTTCACAGAGGGTTATATTTATACAATATAAAGAGTATACAAACATATCCAAAGAGAGATTGCTTTCTGGATACTTTTGATTAAACCTGCTTTAATCCTGGTTACTTTCCCTAGTAAGCAAGCAGCTCCCATTCTTTCTTGATCTCAAGTTTCATAGGGTCACATTCAAAGATCAGCCTTCCCAACCTAGTGCCCTCCAGATGCTCGGCCTACACTGCCTATCATCTCCACCCAGTATGTCCATGTTGGGGATGAGGGAACTCCTAGACCAACACAACTGGAGGGCATCAGTTGGAAAGACTAGCATCGAATCTTTTGTCACCCCTGACTGCTCGGTTTATTAACCATAAGATTATATTCTGGTAAACCCCATGTTTAGTTTAAAGAACCAATATGGCTCCCACTCAGACTGCCTTTAAACAGTACCAAATAAGCCCGGACACGTTAAACAACAGGATAATGCTACCCTTCATATAGGATTATTTTTACAGGATTATTCCCACATGTGGGAAAAGCTGCTGGTAGACTATATGATAAAACTAGTCGAAAGATTTTCTTTTACATTACATTCAAAGGACTTATGGTAAAAGATTATATAAGATTTGCATGTGAAAGATGCTGAGAACTTCTATAACAAACTGTTATTGTATCCACAGAGAGAGTCAATTTATATACCGAGATAGTGAGCAAGACAGGCAAAAATAACACGCAACTTTCTCAACACTTTGAAACAAAAATGCTTAAGATTGAAACTCTGAACTTGTTGGTAAAGCACTGTCATCAACTATGGAAAAGCTGCATTACTGTCAAATAATAAAAACTTTGGGCAAACACTTTATGTTCATCTTAAAGCTCTGAGTGCAGCCAAATGAATACTAATCATCTTACACAACAGAGAAAAGCTCTGTCTTCCATTTCAAGATCATAAACTGATCCAAACCAAACATAAAAAGCAGTGCAAATCTAGTCCCTCTTAAACTAATTGTCTTTCGGTTCTTTGCCTTTGATGTGCAGTTTAACCAGTACGAGGTGAAGAATGGTTAGCACGCATTTGCCACTAGTTTTCTCTGCTGCTCTTGGTGCTCTTAAAATGTTACCCATTCCAAAATAACCAGGCCATCACTGGCTGGCCCCTTCCTTGTCACCTTCAAACGGAAGAGCTTGGCTGCAGCACTAGAAACCCGGGCGTGCGGCCATGACTGGCTCTGAATAGATATGAACAGCAAAACCCCAGTTTAGGCACGTAAGTGCTCTCTGGCGATCAATCTAGAAAAAATAATAATGGTGCTACTACCCCGTACTGCATTTACTTTGTGGAGAAGGAAACACATTTCAGGATCTGTTGCTGGCAAGCCCATCTTTTAGGAGCAGGAGAGAGCTGCTGACAGCTTGGCCAGAACTCCCAGAGGAGGGTGGCGGGATTTTGTCTGGGCCCTGCCCGTGTCCATGGCCTCAACCACGAACAAGGGCAGAGCTCAGCAGCACACAGAAGGCCCCAGGTAAGGTTAGGAATTGCCTGCCACCATGGAGAATGGCTTCTGGTCAGTGACCCAGTTTGCATACAATAGCAGTGAACTGTGGGTATATTAACCCACAATGTGTGCCAAGTGCATTGAGTGCCCATTGTAAACATTCAACTCCCAACTGAGGTGAATGGGGGTTGCTTTGTGACATCCAAATCCAGACACTGTGGGTTGACTGTGGGTTAAACATTCCACGGTTAACTTACAATTAGTTAGGGCAGCTGAACCCTCTGCTTAACCTACAATTAACCTATTTTGTTTGAGTTCAGATGTCACACAGAAACACCTAATCTAGGGTTGAATAGTCAAAAAGCTTGTGGAATACGCAGCAGCAATTCATGGGTTAATTATTGTGTCTGAACTGCCTCATGTTTAGAATGCTCTTGAAGATTTTTGTATTCTCCAGGTGGCTTCTGACATTTATATGAAATAATACAGTTCTTCTTCCCTCACTTTAAATTAAAAAAACAAAGAGATTTAAAATGTCTCTGATATGGTCCCTTTGTAAAGTTATATGAAATACCTGTGGGACAAGGTTAGGGTTGTGAGGCCCTCTTCCAGATGTACAACTCCCATAAGCCCCAGCAGTATAGCCAGTGGGACTCTGGGAATTGTAGTCTAAAACATCCAAAGTCAAGAACATCCGTAGTCTAAAACATCTTGCCCTACTGCCACATTTTGTGGGGTAGAGAAGATGCAGACTTTTGTACACAGAAAGGGAAAAGTTAAAGCAGCAGAATCAAGGATAGGTTGCTCATATGATGATATTGCACATATTATTGCTTTTAGGATACTCTTAGAGTTTTAACTCCAGGAGCCTGGTCCAGCCAAGGCACCCCCCTTTAGATCTGAGGATACTTAGGAAGAAACAAAACCAGTTGTGTCAAAAATGATATTCAGTGTATTGAATACAATGCTGAAATATGGATGCAGAATATAAATAAGCAAAAGAAAGCTTGTACTTCTCTTATTATTAGCTGTAATGGTTCTCTGAATAGGACAAGGCATGGATGAGTGACACCTCAATTCCCCTCCCCAAGCCAGGAAAAAACTCCAGCATCTCTACGAAGTTCCTTTATCCCTCTATTGCATTTTTAGAAAGTACACCGGCTCTAACCTCTCCTCCTGAAGCAGGGGCAATGTTGCTTCAGGAAGGCAAACAGTTTTGTTCTCACAGCAAAAGCACTCCTTATTTACAGACAAATGCACCTTTGAAGCAATGATCTCGGTGCTCTAACAGGCTAAATGCCATCAGATCTTGGCATGGCTTCAAGAAATTATCCTGGTTTTCGAAAACTGGGAAAGTTTACTGCACTTCTTCTTGAACCCTAATAACCTCCTTGCCATTCTTCCAAGAAAGCCTGTATAAAACAACCACTCAACCACTCTGTCTAAAACAACCACCCATTCTTAGTAGTATTATGCTTTCAAACATTTTAACTCACCCCCCAGCAATATGGCATTTCCCTCTCAGTAGGCTATCTTAGTTGGGAATCATTTTGATCTATTCTTCCTTTCTCTCGGAGTTCTGCTTTTTCTTCCCTTCTTAGGAGAGAAGTTGAAATCAGACAAATTTAATTTTTTTTATTTTTATTTTCCTACCTGTTGGGACCTGTGGTGCTCACTCCAAAATGCTGGCAAAGAATATTTCTTCCCTAGACCAGGTGTTACCTGATTACCAGGAAAAGAGCTTTTTAAAGCCCCTGAACTGAATGAGTGTGCATAATAGAAAGCCAATCTGCATAAGACAACTTACATATTTACATAAATTATTCTGTTTATAAGGAACACAGAGTTTGGCTTACCAGGATACAAAATTGTATGTCTCGAGTTGTAGTAAACATAAAATCCCCAATTAAAACAATTCACATACAGGCCGTTCAGCTGTGAAAACACATTGCTAATAGAGATAAAACAAGACATCCTATTTCACCTTTAAGTACCATTTATAAATGGTGTCTAACCTGCAGAGCATAAAGAATGACAGCAGTCAATCCAATCCAGCTGTGCAGACTATACATGTTAGGAATCTTCTTAGCATTATGGAAATCAAAAACAGCCACCAGGGAAATAATTGCCAGCATCAAAGCAATGGTATTTAACCCAGCATGGATTAATTTCATCAGGAGTTTGCTGCATTTCCAGGTCCACGGCAACCTGTACACAATAATCGCTAGGAAGGGAGAGAGAGAGAGAGAATGAGGAAATTTGGAGAACAGTCCTTCTCCCGCAGAACATGGCGACAGCTCTTGTATTATTCAGATTACGTCCCTCAGCTTTTGAGTACTTAATCATCCAAAGTTGGCTCAAGCAGTCACACCCCACCCAAGAGCCAGACTCTAATACAGAAGGGGTATCAAATCTTCACGGATTAAAGCGCATGGCGTCAGGTTTCTAAGCAATGCCTGCTGCTGAGTCAGAGCATGATCCAGCAATGGAACACACTGCCAAGTTGATACTTCCTTTCCTCTTCACCTTGGTCCATTCCTTCCATGGAGTCAATTCTCTTTCTCTAATCCCTTTCAACAGTTTTTCAGGAGACTGTTGTATAGATTCTTCGCCATCTCGCTTTCCCCCAGGACACTTCTTCCCACACCATGTATCTGTGCCCAATTTGCAATGATAATCCTTCTATTTACATATTACACTTCGATCAAACCTCTTTTCCTACAAACTTAAATAATCTTCTTCTCCATTTTGTCCTTCCAACAACCCTGTGAGGTAGGCTGGGCTGAGCATTGACTGGCCCAAAGTCACCCAGTGAACTTCTGGGCTGAGTGGGGATGTGAACCTGGATTTCCTGAGCCCCCGTCCAACATCCTCACCTTAATGCCACAGGGATTCCTCTCACTCCCATTGGACCATTGCTAGGGTGGACTGACTCAAATCACATAGGCCAGAACATCAAGAGGGCTACAACCCCCATCAGCCCTCATCTCAGCTAGCTAGGGCTGATGGGAATTGAAGGCCAGAGCATCTGGATGGCCACAATTTGCCCACTCCTGACTTAAGTGAAAGCTATTTAAACCATCAGTTTAAATAATGGCTTAAATTGCACCCCCATGCTGTTCTGTATGCATTTCCTGATCAAACCTCTCACAGACTAGCAAGTTGATCCAGCTTTTGAAACATACCCGTTTGCAAGCTTTAAAAAGCCTTCCTACTATATCATTACATCACATTTCGATACCACCCACAGCTGAAGCTCTCTGGCCAGTTTACAGCATTTCAGTCTCCAGGCCCAACCCTGCTTAGGTTCCAAGATCAGGCAGGAAGGAGCCAGGCTTTGGGGCAGACAGCATGTTTGGAACAAACAAGACAACCCGGATCAAACAAAACTGGAAAGGATCCAAAGGGATGGGAAAAAGAATAAAATCTTAGGATGCTGGTTGAATCCCTTCAAGTGTCCCAATACATTTTCTCCTTGTGTCATATAACTGATACCTGGACCTTCTTCAGGGGTCAACTTTACAGCTTTGGCTATGCACACAGAGCTCTCTGCAAATTCTGTCACCAAGCCACCATGTGTTGGGCTGCATCGAAGAATACACCTGTGTGTTCATCCTGAGACTTTGTCACTCCACTTTTCTGGATCATGCCAGGGGCCTCACTCCAGTCCCACCCTCTGAAAGGAAGGGCCTCAACCTTTGGGGGCCCACCGGGAAACCTGGCTGCTGCGGGGACTTGCCTAGCATCAGGCAAAAGACGGGTTTGAGCCAGATGCCAAGCCAAGTATTTGTCCCCAACAAAGCGGAGCAAAATATCGGTAGAAAGTAAAAAGGGGAAGGTTCTGGGAGCACCTCCGAAATGCCCGCATCTGCAAAGCTGCCTCCCCTCAAAACCACGCAGACAGACTCCCCCCCTCAAACGGTCCAGGCTAGATGCACCCAAGGTCAGCACAGGGCGACTGGCATCCCATCCTCCCCATGATGGGCCCCCCTTTGCTCATTCAGTGCACAGCAGTGGCTGTCGTGGCACGCGGCACAGAAGCCTGGTCCACCAGAACTGAGCTGTACATTGGGCATGGCGCCTGTGCCCTCCCGTGTGGTTCTTCCCACCAGCAGGCATGGCTAAACCAACTAGAAAGTGGAGTGCAGGAACAGGCACCAAGGCATTCCCCAGACTTTTTGTACTACAACTCCTATCAGCTCCAGCCAACATGGCCAATTGCCAGGAATCATGGCCGTAGAGGTGCTAAACATCCAGAAGACACCCTGTTGCTTAACCCAGGACAAAGTGTTATCAGAATCAGTATTGCTGGAATAAAATCTGCTTTGATGAGGAGTGGCAAAGCCGTTCAGACAACACACAAAGAATTGTGTCCCTGGTTAGGCAGGCTCTCCTGCTGGCAGGAGCGATCAGGCAGGGGTGAACAGGTTGTGTGAAGGTGGGAAGAGAATGAATTCCTGTTTCTACAAGTCTTTTGAACCCTCCAGCTGTGCGAAACTGCAGCTCCTGGCATGCCCCAGGCTGCCCAAGCCAGTCTTCTTGTGGTGGTGTTCTCTGCAGTTCCCTGGGGACACAGATGTATCCTGGGGGTGGCAGAGCACAGAAAGACCAGGCCAAAATTACTCTCTTTGGTTTTTAGTTCCTCTTCCAAATGGGCCTGCAAGGAGGTTTGAGAAGGAGAAAAGAAATATATACACCGTTGCTCATAAATGTAAATTGGTGTCCTGCAACAGCAGAGGGTTGTACCCGATGGCCTTCTTGGCCCCTTCCAACTCTACTATTCTATGAAATATATGGAATACATAGGTTAGTCTTAGCAATTAGATATCCTACCAACTTGACTATAAAAAGGTGGGAGTCTGTTTAGACAAACAGGAATAAACATTAACATTAAGGTTCTAAATCCTAAAAAAAAATCCATTTTATGTACAGTGTATGCCAAAAACTACATATCTACTATACAAGTCATAAAGAAAACTCTGTTCCCAAATGGAATGTCCTGGAATTTGAATCAATGTATATTTCTCTGTGCTGAAGGAAGCACAATATTGACATTTGAAGGTTCTTTTCAAGTTAACTGCATACACACATTTTTGCAATATTACATCTTTCCCCTACCCTAAAAGAGTAGAGAAAAGTGCATTCAAATAAAAAGGGAGTGGCCTTGTTTTCAAATCAGTAACAGGTTGACAGGAAAAAAATGTTTAAAAATCAAAATAGGATAAAAGAAGTGAAATTACTGAAAACTTCCATACATGCCTGTAAGCCCTATTAGGTCCAATGCAGCTTACACAGTAGTAAATGAACATGAGATCAAGGCCTTACAGTGCACTCTCTCCAGGTGGAAGGCCCATTAAGTTCAATGGGGGCTTATTCCAAGTTAAGTAGATATGATTGCAACCTCACACTGCAATCCAATGGCCAGTAGTGGGACTCTAAGTGGTCACTTAGAGCCTTGCTCTAAGGTCAGAGCCTTGCTCTAAGGCCAGGGCTGGGCTTCTGAGCCCTCCACTGCACTCCCCGTTGGTGCGAAAAGACCCATGCTGAGGCCCTGAGAGCAAGCTCAGAGAAGGGCTTTTGGAGGCAGTGAGGGGAGGAGACAGGCTCCCAAGCATAGAAAGTATCTTGGCGGTGTTTCACATTCCTTCCCTCCAGCTCCAAGGACAAGTGCTTCGACAGCCATCTCAGGGTTTTGCACAGGAGGTGGCACAGAGAGGAAAACTCCTCAGCCGCGGTCCTGCCGGCACGCCCATCATGTTCCAAGTTCAGAGTTCTAGGCCGCTTCACCAGGTTGTGCTGTGATGTTAGAATGCTTAGTCTTTTAAGGGACGGAGGAGATACTTTGTTTTTTAACATTTTTTTGACTTAATGTCAAATATTAATAAAAACCTATTGTCATTACAAATGCCAGTCTCTGGACCTAGCATTTACACCTCCACACCAGGCCAATGGTTTTGCACATTACAGTCTTTATGGGCACACAAAGTATTTTGCGTCTATCTGCACTGTATTACTATGCACCTTCCACTGCAGGTGTTACAGGCAAATGCAGACATTAAAACTGGAAGAGCAATGAAGCCTAAAAGCAGCAACTTGGCTGAACTGTCAACAGACTGTTGAAAAGAACTCATAGTTCAATTCTTTCCTCTTCTATACACTTCTTTTTCACAACTCAACACTCCCTTGGTCGCCTCCTTCTTGCTGTGTATTTGCATGCTTGTCAGGTGGTGCAAATCGTTCTCCAGCTCCTCTAAGTTACTTCATTTCTGTCGCTCCTTAAAGCAGTTGTCTTTTCTTATCCAAATGATAAACGTATCTTTGTGTGCAGGATCCTAATGCCACCACATACTTGCAATTGTTTGTGCATGACACTGTCTTACCATTGCTTTATTGGTATACACAGTGCAGTTATAAGAATTGTAAAAGCGGCACAAGGGTGCCACATGATGCTCGCTAAATAACAAATTAACGACACATTAACAGCAAGGGAAGGATGGGGGGGGAGGGGTGTGCAGGAATCCTAAGACCCCGTTTATTACCAAAGCACACTTATATAAAATGATTCCTAAAATGGTTTTCCTAGAAATCCTTTGGTGCGTATCTCTTGTGTGTAATGCTTTTAAATCAGCCAAACTATAACCGGCTGGATCCACCATGGCTGCCTGTAAGCCTCTAAATTTGGATGATTGGGCTATCCTATTAAGGCTGCCCCTGCACTTCTTCTGCCCTGCAATCAATTTAGATGGCTGATTTTGGCCATCTAAAAGCACAATCCTATGCATCTTTGGACAGAAGAACCTTCCTACAACTCCCAAAACTCTAGGACATTTGTCTGTCTGACTGTGTATAGGATTGCACCCTAAATGAGCCAGTCTAGTGTGGGGTTAGAGTCCTGGAGTGAAGACCGAGGTGATCCGGGTTCTAGTCCCCACTCAGCCATGAAGCTCACTGGGTGACTTTGGCCTCAGCCTAGCTTACTTCACAGGGTTGCTGCTGTGAGGAAAGATGGAGCTATGTAAGCCACCTTGGCTTCCTCACAAGAGAAAAAAAGGCAGGATTTACAATGCTAATAAATCTTTTGTGCCTGTGTGCATGCATTACAGCTGAGGTGCTGTATGGCTATCCTGGCAGAGCCTCCTCACACCCCCATCCCTACTCCAAGGCCAGACTTGCAGCCTCAGAGCTGTAGCAGGCAGGGTTCGTTCCATGTGGGCGGGGGGGATGTGGGCACTCTCAGGTTGCAGTCCCAGCTTCGTCTTTGCAGAGCATTCCCAGGGCTGGAGCTGGGACACCAGTCTCTCCTATGGTTATCCAGAGAGCATCCAGCAGCCACAGATTACACCCTGAGCTAGGTTTGTATATTGGGGGGGGGGGTGCAGGACTTCCACTGAAACAAATGCCTAGAACGTTTTTGAAGAAAAAGCATGCAACACATCCGACTGGATGCTGCATGGGGACTGTTTGATTTAAGCAAACAATGATTTCCCCCATCTGATTTCATTTTGCAGGTCCACCTACCTTATTCTCCCCTGAAGTGGAGGACAGAATGCAAACTAATGGGGCAAAGCTCAAGGGACCAGGTTGCAGGCTTCCTGACAGTTAGCACCCCTAGGAGATGGAGTGGGCTTCCATGGGAGGTGCTGGAAGTTCCATCAATGAGGGCATTCAAGGAAAAATTGGACAACCACACGTTGGACATTAAATGAGTGGGGCCCGCTAGAGCTGGGGGTCAGACTAGATGGCCTAGGAGACCCCTTCGGATTCATTGTTTCCGTATTTCTATTCCAAATACACATGATTCAGTTTATAAATATAAGGTTACACCCTGGAGCAAGCTTCACTAAACTTAGAACACAGAACTTACCTCAGAGTAAATATGTATTGGATCATACTACATGACTTACATTTCTAATCTGAATTTTCTTCAAGCCAAAGTTTTCTACCAGGAGTCCTTTAATCCTGTTCAAGCCTAACCAATGTTGCTTCCTCCCATTACCTGATGCCATTAAATCTAATCTAACTTACTCAGTTCTTTGTTGATCCTCTCAGGAAAGGAAGTGTTTCAGTGATGCAATATTTTAAACTTGTGGGCATTAGTAATAAGGTTTCCAGAGAGGCAGTAATTATATTTTGTAGCCAAAACGAAGACTCTAATAAATGTACTGTTAAGCAGATGTTAGTCTGCAGTAGCAAAAACTAGACCAATAATTATATTGAGGCATAAGTATTATTTAAACACTAAGAAAGGAGGTAGTCACTGGATTTTAAAAAATCCTGTTTTAAAGTTTGTAAGTCTATACATGTTTACTTGGAAATAAACCCTACTGGACACAAAGTTACTTTTGAGTAAGCATGCATAAACCTGAACTGTTAGTACTGAGCTGTGTGCTTCAAGTGAGGTAATTTTCAACAACTACAGTGGCTATTATCCACGATTTAGGAGGGGAAACCCTATGAGTCTTGACTACGCCCCACAATGTTCAATCTGGCTGACTGCAGAGCTGATATTACAGAATATCAGCACTAACTCCTTTCCTGGCTTAAATCTGGAAAAGGTTCGTCTCCTCATTTCTCTCTTGCACAATCCATCTTTGTCATGCTTAAGTAAATTGTCCCCACTGAATTTGCAAACTGAGACAACAATCTAACTAATACGAAGCAATCAAATCAATTCCCAGATGAAAAGAAATTGCAGGCTCAAACATTCCACATTTTAAAATTCGCACAGAATGTGCTAAACTCTAATAAACGGTAACCACAGAGAACGGTTTTTAATGCTTCCCTGCTCAACAGTAACAGCCTGACAGAATCCAGATGTGATGATGCTGCCTCTAAAATGCAAAGCTGCTGGAAAAAAGAAGTTGCAGCGCTCCTCGCCCTCCCAGACACATTACAAACAATCTAGAAGGCCAGGAGAGAGGAAAACAAGACCCGAAACAGACTTCCTGTGCCTGTTAATCGCATTTTTGCGCGTAAATTCCGGGGGATGTTTACTCCCCAAAATACGTCGCCTTCTAGTTGAGTCTGCCTCGTACTGCACCGTTTCCTGGAAGGCGCGTGAGCTCCACATTCTCTCTTGTCCCACCAGTCAAAGGAAGATCAGAAGCCCGCGCCGCTGCGCAGGGTCGCCACAACCCTGGCCGCTCCCACCCACCAGCCCGGAAAACGTTAAGAGCAGGGAACTGGTTGCCAAATTCCACATCAGCGATCTCAGTCCTCAGCCCACCCGCGAAACAATATCCTGTAAAAAAAGCAAACCCAACTTCTTACGAGAGGCTCGGAAGCAACAGGGGAGCCTGCAATCCTTAATCTGCTGCAGGCTGCGATTCGAAGGCTACCTCCTTGCTGGGAGTGAGCCCGAAGGAACTCAACCAGGCCTCCTTCTGTATAGACGCACGTCCAGGATTGCGCAGTCGGGCTTGGCTGACGAGCCTGAAAGGGTGTCTGTGAACCACGTCCCCGGGACCTGCGGGGGTTCAGAAGGAGCCTGGGGCCAAGCCCGCCATTCCTTGAACTCCGTCATTAGCTCTTTCGCCCTGCCTGGCCGGCACCGAGCCCCGATTCGGACTGGGAGCCTAACGGGCAGGCGGGGGACTGTTAGTACGCAGGAATCAACGCCCACTAAGTGCGGGAGCACTTTTATTTCTAAGTCCTCGCCGGCCGCAGAGGATCGCTCGGTGCCCGACGCAACTCTGGGCGTTCTCCCTGCCCCGCTTCTCCGAGCGGCCGCCCCGCTCCCCATTGCCCCGCTCGGCCGTGCCGGGAGGGCGCCAGCAGAGCCCCCGCCGCCCGCTGGAACGCACCGATGCCTTGCACGAACACGAAGCCCGTGATGATGAGCACCGGGTGCCAGTTGAACTGGGCGTCCCCGTCCCAGGCCAGCCCTTCGCGGTAGTGGAGGACCCAGACGAGGGCGAAGACGACCGAGAGGAAGCCGAGCAGCAGCGCCGAGCCCAGCAGCGCCAGGAAGCGCCCGTAGCCCTCCATGTCCCCTCGCGCCCGCCGCCGCCGCGCGGCTCTCGCGGACCCAAACAAACTCGACCGCGGGGCGGGGCGGGGCGGGGCGGCTCTCGGCGTGGCCTCCCGGCTCCCCCTGGAGGGGAGCGGAAGGCGAGGACGGTCCGGCTCCGGGGCAGCGGGAGCCCCGCGGGCGCGCCGCCGATTTCTCCCGCTTCTGCTGACGGCTCGCATTCGCCCGGAATGCGAAGCGCAGCCTGGAAGCGAGCGGAGAAGTTGCCAATCGCCTGGGGCAGGGCCGGAGGGTCTTTTTCTTGTTTTACTCTGCACGCAGTGCCTGCTTTTGAGTAAAGTTTCAAAAAGGACAGCGCTGCTCGGAACGTGGCACCAACTTCAAGCGGATTTATTGGGAAATAAGGGCGCGTAGGACCGCAACCCCGAAAGGCTTATACGTGCCCTCTCGGGATCCCTGCTCTGTTTCTTCTGTTGGAAAGCTCACGCCCTGCTTTTCTTTGTCCAAAGCTGGGGAAGGACAGGTTGGAATTGGCCTTCGGTCCAGCAAAGCCATCGAGCAAACTTAAGAAACTGCCGAAAGCTGGGCATGCTGTGTTTACCCTTCTGGAGTGAGGCCGTGTCTGTGGCCACCCATGGGCAAAACTGCTGGTGTGCACCAGGGCCCGCATCAGGGACAGGCAGAGCTGGGCACTCCCCGGGGCTTGCAACAAGCGGGGGGGGGGGGGGGCTGCCGTGCAGGGCCTTGCTCTCTCGCTCGCTTCCGCCTCTGACCCCAACTTGGGCCGTGGTGAGCAGCGGAAGACGCCCCTGGCCACTTGCTTCCCGGTGCTCTGCCTGTCAAGCAAACAAGTTGTAGCAATGGGAAGAAAGATAAGGAGCACAGCCAGTGGTGCCCGTGGATGCGAGAAGATAAGCACACTTTGGACTGAGAGGAGAGGCCCGTTGTGCTGCCTTGCCCCAAAGAGCTCAAAATAAGTGTTCCTGCAGCTCTGTGCTGCCTTGCCCCAAAGAGCTCAAAATAAGTGTTCCTGCAGCTCCTGCCAGAGGAATTAAGCCACTCCGTTCCCCCAGTGGTGGGCAGTCACATAACTCTGTCCCTCCATCCCTTTGCATATTTCTAAGCTGTTGGGGGTTCTTACTGTGTCAGTTGTAAAGCTATATGCTGCTTCAGGAAGTCTGTGATTCACATAAAGACATGTGGCCATGCCAAATTAAACCCACTACTAATTTTTCAGATTTTTTTTTTAAATGCCCTTTGCAGCAGATTCGTAGTGGGGTGGTGTTGGGGACAGGAGACTGCCCTCATTTTCCCAAGTGTGGGTAACACGGATGCACTTTCTAAAAAAGTCAAACTCTTGCCAGCACTAAATTGCTGGCCCAGGTCTTAGGACATCCTGGTGCTCTTCCAGTGTCCCCTGGGATACCACTGGAAGAAGGAGTGAGGGGGAAGGAGTGAGGAAGAGCAGGGAGGAAGAAGTACAGTCCCCCACTGCCTGATCATCTGTCAAGCACAAAGGAATTATAACCACAGTGCGTGTTTAAAATTCTCAAGGGGTTTAATGCTGTGCAACCTAGCCAATGTATTGTTCTGAGGATGTATTGTCCTTGCTCAGGGTTCTACATGGAATCACCTGCACCTGCATCAGCAACATCACAGTCCTTTCCCCCTTATGCAGAAATGTGAATTTAAGATTAAGAGTGCTGGTCTAGAGGCAGGCAGGAAGGCCTCTCTCTGTCATGTCCTTCCTGGAGGAGGATTCCTCAGGTAAAGAAAGCCGGTGCAGTGGGCCTCAGACACAGGGGTTCTGGCTGCAGATGACTGTCCTCCATTAGAGGGGGAGCCAGCGCCTTCTTGGGAAGTCCTGGGGTTCCCCAATAGTAGGAGCCAGAGGTAGAGGGGATTCACCCCTTAGGAAGAAGGAGGTGTGCATGGCTTCGACAGAAGTCCAAACAGCTTGAAAGGGGAGTTTTCCATGAACCAGCATGCTGATTTAATTAGTCAGCTGTGCTGATTGCCAGCTGACTATAAATTAGTTCAGACAGAGCTGCTCTTTGTTGCTAACAATAAGCATTGTTATCTGCATTCTCTTGACTTGTTAAAACTAATCAATATCTGATTTCTGGCCTGCTTACTGACATTCTTTTGGATGCCCTCACCTGACTGGAAACTTTGAACTTACACAAACCATGCAGCCTCGACTCTTGAACTGAACTGGTGATTCTTAAGAAGGTAACTCAAGGACTGGACCTTCGTGGGCACAGAGACCAACATTCTGAGTGCCTTCCCTGTGCTTTTTAAAGAATGAAAACTGAGGTGCGAGTGCTGTCAGGCTTAAGGGCACAGTTGACCATTGGGAATGTAGTTCAATGACAGAGCTTCACACATGGAAGGTCCCAGTGGCTAGTCCAAAGGACCTGGATTAGTAGAGCTGGGACAGGCTCTTGTCTGGAAATGAGGAACCTTTCCCCACTTCTCGCCTCACCACAAGCACTTCTCGGAAACTGAATGTGGCCTTTGCACTGAAAGAGGGTCCCAAATCTGGGCTGGGATATTTATTTATTTATTTCTGACAGTTTCTGTCACTCCGCTCATTAAAAAAGCAAAACCAAATGGGTTGACGAAGTGGTTTGCATGAAGGAATATCAGCAGCAGAACAAAAAAGGGTTAATAAAAGAATAAAGTCCCTTGTTAAAAGAGCCAAAGGTGGCTGGTAGTGCTAACACACCCAGGCAAACAAATGCGTCTTCAGTTGTTGGTGGAAGCTGACTCCACCTGAGACGTCCCCCTGATCTTGGGAGGACTCCTGTGCTGGAACATGGTCTAGAAACATTTTTGAATGAATGAAACCATGGGGCAATCATTCCAGAGAGTAGATGGTATATATTTGAGAGACAGTGTCCATTCCACAGCCAAATAAGATCGGTCGTGCAGCAAGCGAGACCTTCCTTGGAGAACGCAGGGACCAGGGCAACCCGCAGGCCTCTGCTGCTTATGATCCTGATCCCCTCAGCGATCCTGCTAGCAGCTCATTCTGCTTGCAAATTGGAGGGGTTTTGCCAAATCCTATGGCCCCTGGTGGATCTTCAGGGTTGGATTGTACCTGGAAGGTAGCTAAAGATGCTTAAAGCAGCAAAAGGAACCAAAAGGAACAAAATTAATCAGATTTCTTAAAACCCTGAGTCTCTATGGTGTTAGCCCAGTCCAGATAGAAAGGCCTCGCAATGCCTCTGCAGAACATTTTAAGTCTGAGCAAATTTGAGAAGTCCCATAGCTGTGAGGCCCGCTGTGAAGATGCCTTTCTCCACCTGCTGTCTGTGGCACATGAATCATGCTAAAGAATCTCACGGATGATCTTGTGGCATCTACTTTGCTTCTCACAGGAACTCCGAGTCTGCCTATTAGAGCCAGGTCCAAACGAGAAGCAGGAAAGGGAACTCCATACACTTGTAGCAGCACCATCTTAGGCACATATTTTGAAGTAAGCCTTTTGTAAGTGAATTTCACAGTGCAGCCTTGGAAATAAGAGACAATATGCTCCAAGCACATGCTCACTCAGCTATTTGTTTTCAGGACAAAACTGACCTTGCCGGCTTTTCGTACAAGCATCTACAATTGTTTTCCTCCCAATTTGTCTTGATTAAGTAGCTTAAATTTATTTGGGTGGTGGTGGTGGGTGTTTAAAGAACAAGGAGCTACTCTGATAGTCTAGAGGGCAAGAAAGCTTAGGTTTGTACTGCCAAGCTATTGGGCTAAAAATATCCTCTTGTAATGGATTGACATGTTTATGGTCTCCATAAAAGAGGGAATAGTAGCAAATAATGAAGCATGGAGGAAGGACATTGGGATTTTCTTTCTTTTTTTCACCAGAGTGACTACGAGGTAGATATGAGAGCTTTGACAGCAGAATCATTTTGATATAATGACTGCAGGGCTTCTTGGTAGATGCCTTCTAGCACTACCTATCAAAAGCTTTGTGCTGCTATTCTGTCTTTCTCTCGTTAGGAGATTTTGTATCCCAGGAAAGAAAATATGATGGTACAGGGCCAAGATGAGCACAAGATGACAGGATCTGGAGCCCCCGCCCCCAGTAAAGCTCAATGAACGAGGCAAGGCCAGTATTTCATGAAAGCCTTGTCTGGAGGTGTCCTTGGGGTACCCAGGTACCGCATCCTGCCTTTGTGTGCTTGTCTGAGCATTTTCAGATGCCACCCTCACTGCCACTTTCAGAGGGAGGTTTGACAGACTGACCTATAATAGGGACTTGTTACAGCAATAGTCCATCCATGAACCAGATTACTGAGGTTGGTTGACATACTCACCAAAACATGCCACAGCAGGAAGCCTCAATTACATCAGCAAAAGCTATAATGAGATACATAATCATACTGTAGCCTGAGTCCTTCCCAAGTCTTAGCTTTATATAAGCTTGGTCTTTTTGATGGAACACAATTTAACAGCCAGAAATGATTATTTATATGTGTGCGTATATATAATTTTAGTTCTTTACCAGCCAATGGCCAAAGCATTTAGGGCATTCCACAATTCCTAAAGCCACAAATTCTAATACAATGCAAACAACGTAAAAATTCAGCATAAAAAATTTAAGACCAGAATTTTAAAACACTTTTGAGTAGCTAAAAGCAATTGCTCAATACAGCAATACAGCATAAAAGCAACTTGTATGTCACTAGGTGCCATTAAATCCCTTGAAGAACAGGGTGGCCTTACGTGGTGCTGAAAGAGTAAGAGCCGGTGCCTGGCAGGTCTCACTGGGAGGTTCTCCATAATAGGGGACCACCACTGCAGGGCTCTCCCCATTGTTGTTGCCCTCCAAATATCCCTGGGAAGTGGCAGGAAGGCCTCAAATGTTGAGCATCATGTCTGGGTCGAAATTCAGGTTGGAAGAAGTATTGAACCCAAGCTGTATAAGCCTTTAAAGTTTAGAATCAGCACTTTGAATGGAGCACGGACCAGAATCGGTGTTACACGCTTGGACTTTCTGGTTCTTGTTATTGGTTTGGGGGCTACA